GTATTAAGGTTATTGTTAAAAAGTTTTTGTTTTATCAATACTATGTTCAAGGCTTATTACTAGATGGCACTACATTATCGAAGCCTAGGTAAACTGGCATTTCAGTAATAAGATTTCATTTTGAAGGAATAACATTATTAAAGAGTTACAGGATCTTTTCCAAATTCCAAACACAATGTTAAATGTTTCTATTTAAGGGAGTGAGTCCGTGAGGGAGGAGTTGGGAGCTGCTATTAAAAATAATTATTTAGGAGTCAATAGAGGAGAGTCATCAGTCATGAACTATAAGAACAAAAGCCAATGTTCAATATTGACCTGTACTTGGCAAATCAATTGACTATATGAAAGTCTCTTTGATATAGTTCTTTTTTTTTTATTGTTTTATTTATTTATTTGACAGACAGAGATCACAAGTAGGCAGAGCGACAGGCAGAGAGAGAGGGAAGAAGGCTCCCAGCTGAGCAGAGAGCCTGATGCAGGACTCGATCCCAGGACCCTTAGATCATGACCTGAGCAGAAGGCAGAGGCTCAACCCACTGAGCCACCCAGGCTCACCCTTGATACAGTTCTTTATTGGACACTGCATTCTGATAACTATCTTGGGCTTGGTTTAACAAACATTTTATGAGAGCTTTTGACAAGGTAGGCACTGTTAAAATTAGAGATACAGAATGATCAAGATATGGCCACTGTCCTCACCACAGAGAATCCCAACCCAAACAGGCAAGGACAGTGAAAGAGATTGGGACAGGGTGCAGCACAGAGCCCAAGAGGGAATCGTCATTCAGGGCGTGGAAGCGGGAGATGGGGAAATGGAGGTCAGGGAAGGGTCAGTTGGAAGAGGTGATACTTAAGTTCAGACAAAACTGTGAATTTTCATCTCCTTAAGCTCAAGTGTGGAATAGAAATTGTCATTTTAAGAGCAAATACTAAAAAAAAAATAATATTCATCTTCTACTCTGATCAATGAAACAAATGGTTTCGGGTAGATCTATTTATTTGTACATATTTGAGGCTACGATAGAGGCTTATTATTCAGACAGATTCTTCTAAGAAATAAAATTCTTGGAATTTGCCCGGACTCATGCCAAAGCATATTGTTCACAATCAGATTAAATTTACCATACTCTTATGTCCAAAGAGAGTGATCCATCGGACGCTTAATGTAGAATGCTAATTTAGAAATATGTCAGAAGCCAGACAGTCTTTCAGAAGGAATTCCGTAGAAGTTAATCAGAGCTTAGAGATCAGATGAGCTTCCATTTGCATATGATTTCTCTACACCGCGGCTGCAGACAGCAGGTTGCTTACATAAAAACTCTCTCAGTCTCTGCTTCCTGCCATTTGATTTGGCAACAACTCCAGATGTCCCCAAGGAGCACTGGGTGTGGTGCATAAACAATGAATTTAGGAACAATGAAAAAAAAAATTTTTTTAAGTTACATAATGACTGTTGCTGGACATTGGAATTGCTTTAGGAATGGGTATTTGCAATTCATTTTCCCTTCATGATGGTCTTAAAAATCCATCCTGTCAAAAATGTTTTTTTAAAGTCCTTGAGTCCTCCCCCACCTGTAGCACATTCAGAAGAAAGGCTGTCAGAGTTTTCAAAAAAGTGATTCCCTGTGTTAGGATGAGCATTGATTCCCAGAACCTTGGTGGTAAAAGGAGCCTTTGATAAATCACTTAGTTAAGTCCCTTCATCTTATCACTGAGGAATACTGAGGCCTGATGAAGTCAAAGGGATTGCCCATGACCAAGCAGCAAGATAACTGTGGTGACAGGACAGAAGGACTTCGTCTCCATCTTCCAAGGTCAGGGTCCCTGACACCTTGAACTTGAAGGCACATACAGATCTCTTAGGAATCTTATTAAAATGCAGATTCTTATTCAGTAGTTATGAACTGGAGGCCCAAGATTCTGCATTTCTATTAATAAGATCCCAGGGGATGATGACAATATGGGTCCATGAACCACACTTAGAATAATAATAAGGCTTTACCCTAAAAAAAATTTATTGGAGTGAAGGCAAACATTAGCATAAGGATAGTTTGGGTTCAGGTACGACTGGCATCAAAAAAGATTCCAAAAAAGATTGGCAAACCTTCAGCAGGTCTGGTGTTACTATACCAAATAGTCTATGTCATCTTATGATGGAGATAAACCACCATGCCATAATGCCAGTTTCCTAGGAAATGTCATTTTAGAAGTCAGACTAATTAGAAAATTGTCTGGGTAAGATTTTTTATCTGCTTCACCTAGTTGTCCTGTGCCTTCTCACCTCAAAACTGGCATCCAAGATGCATAAATGACAATTTTCTAATAATGCATTCCTTAAAGGACTTACGGTTCTTCAGCTATATGTTAATTTCATGATCCTTGAATCAATGCACTTCTTACCTCAAATGGTTCTCCCCCACATCCCCTGCCACACACACAGTGTTCACATGTCTTATACCATGTTTATTGTATGGAACGAGTGGATTATTGTGTGATCATCATGAGAATTCTAATTTTTATCAAGAATGCAAACAGGAAAAAAAAAAAAGAATGCAAACAGGTAAGATGAAATGGTCATTACGGAATGTATCCTTAATTCTGGATTACCTACTTACTGTAGGGTATGCCCATGTGGATTCGTAGCCCTGGTTTAGAAACAAATAGACAAACAAAACCCTGTGTATTTCAGAAGTCATTATGTGAAATAAGTTCTATGGGAAACAGGTTTCCATGTATTTTTCTCATATATCTGTGAAGAAATTCTTACTGAAGCATGTATAATGCCATCTGTATGAAAAATGGCCCGGCCTCACAGACTACGATCTTATTTCTGGATTTCTCTAGGTAGATCTTCCTCTATTCACTGCTGCAAACATATTCTAACCAAAAATAACCAGTTTAATAATATAAAAGTGTTTTCAAGGGTTGAAAAGCGCTATTTCAATACAAGATGTTTGTCGTTAAGTTTATTGATAATACACTAATGATCATAATAACACTTTACGTTTGCACAAGAACTCATGGGACTAAGAATCAAGAAGTGCTTGTATTTTATCTTATAGGCCATTCTTCTTGAAATAGGAAAGTTAGATATACCAAATCACTTGGTAATAATTTTTTGGCATTGAATGTAGTTTTAAGGGGAATGAAAAATATCACCCTTACACTTGTAATAATGAATAGTTTTATTCACATTTCTTTGGTGCCAAAAAAAAAAAGTGTTTATTCTTATTTACTCTGGAGAAGACAGGGTCATGTGTAAATCACAAGGTGTGTGAGGTCACAGCTACATTTTATTAGGTGCTTTGCGTGGTGGTTATGGTATAGCTCAACTATTAATAGTAATCACAGCTACAGGTGTCAGGCATCTATGAGTTTGCTTGCCTAGAACCTTTTTGATGGCCCTATTTACTAGAGCATGTTATTGGGTGCAATGAATCCAGTATGAAATGCTTTAGTTACTGGTATAACGGCAACAAAAAGAACAACTAGAAAGGACTTCCAAAGTTAGGCACATCCCCGCATCACCACCTTGTGAACAATGTGGGTGAAGGAATGTTGAGTAAAATGAAAATTTTTACACCATGGAAAGACAGTTTCACCTTGAATACGAAGTGACCTCTATTCAGTATAACTGGAGAAGAGTAGCTGTCTAAATTTTAAAAATGGATTTGCCTTTGATTTGGGATCCATGGGTGAAGGGAAATGTCTGCTAATCAATTATCTGCCTCTTTCTGTTATGAGGTATTAAAAATGAGACCTAATTTGTAGTACCTTTAAGAAAAAAGGAAATATAGTTATTCTTGTCCGTAATCACGAGAGTATATAAGCGCTTGACTTCTATTGTAGTGCGATGATTGAACGAACATAAAAGTAGGCATGACTATACAGAACTGAGTGTATAGAGAGAGAAAAGCTCAGGATCATTTAAATAATAAAAGATCATGGATGGAACCGTGGAAGTCCTTACCAAAACCAGCGTTTTAACAAGGTGTAGGAGTCAGTGCCCAGTGGCAAATAAGGAAATGCAAAAAGGGAAGGTGACTTAGCGGCCCAGGCCTTGCCAGCCCTGCTCAACTTTTCAACCTCCCTCAAGTTAAATTTCAGTCAGCTGTCCTTAGGAAGACCGAAGCAAACCACCACCAAAATATGTGCCCCACAGTTGTCATGAAACATGGTTTTTAAAAATGTGTTCTTTTCCTTTCCTTTATGTTGTTCAATCACCAGGTCATTGTAGGAATCTCCATATTCTCTAGGAGGAAAATTGCCAGTCTGAAAATTCAGTGTCTGTAGCGTTCTATTGCTTATCACATTTTTGCCCTCTAGGTGCCAACCTGGATTCACTGGAGCAAGATGTACTGAGAATGTGCCCATGAAAGTCCAAAACCAAGAAAGTATGTTAAAATAATCTGAAATTTGCTCTCTCCCCCAAACTACAGCAACAATTACTACCACTTGGTGGTTTTACATTTCAGTGGTAACTGATTCCTTTTGTCCTAACAATGGTTTAAGCACTCGGGGCGTAAACTCCTTCAGCACGAGCTTGTTTCATTCTCTCCCAGCGTGGACTCCAAAGACCATCGAGGTAAATGACCACCAACGTGGCCAGCAAGGCTGGCAACCGTGACAGGCAGGCCAACCAAAAAAAAAAAAAAAAAAAGTTTCCTTCTAACACCTTTGACCAAAGCCCTCAGATGGAAAACGGACTCGAAGAAAACCTCCGAGTTCATTGTAGGTGAGTCCCTTTGAAAGAAAACTGACCCTTAAGATGCTGCCATCTTTCCGCCCTACAGACCTGACGACCGCATTTTGTCCCAGTCTTGAGTCCTTTGGAGGAAATGCCAGAGACTGGAAACCATGGTTAGGACAAAGACTCAGTTCCTGAGGGTGAACTCACCAAGTTCAGTCAAATGACACTGAAGGAGCTTCTTTCTAGCGTGTATTCACCTCTTCTCTTTTTCTCTGTTTTTTCTACCATTGTTTTTTGTTTCTTCTCTCAGGTGCCCAAATGAGTTTACTGGTGATCGCTGCCAAAACTACGTAATGGCCAGCTTCTACAGTACGTCCACTCCCTTTCTGTCTCTGCCTGAGTAGGAGCATGCTCAGTCGGTGCCGCTTTCTTGTTGCTGCATCTCCCCTCAGATCTCACCTAGAACTAGATGCGTTTTACCAGGTCTAACCTTGACTTGCCTCTGCCTGTCGCATGAGAACATTAACACAAGCGATTGTATTACTTCCTCTGTTCGTGACTAGTTGGCTCTGAGATACTAATAGGTGTGTGAGGCTCCGGATGCTTCTGAAATTGAAACTGAATAATGTGATCCAAGACGATAGTCCTTATCCCACAGCGCAATCACAATAAAGGCATTTAAAAGTCTCACTTTTATTGGTAAAATAAAATCATTCTGCTAAGCAGTCCATCTTCTTTATAAAAAACGGCAACGTCCTGAAAAGGATGCTGCTAAGTTGTAATCAGTATGCACTTGAAATGATGGTAAGTTAATTTTGGCTCAGAATGTGTTATTTATAACAAATAAACATACTAAAAAGAGTTCAGATGTTTCTCTTCATTAACAGTTTGCATTTAGTTATTAAAAAAGGCACTGAGTAAGAAAATTACAAACAAACATGGCACAGCAAATGAGATAGCCTGGCTTCTCCTTACGATGCTTAGGAAACAAGTGATTCAGGACTAGTTTAAATAATCATTTATGTTAGCATTCCTTTATGCTGGTGTCAAGGATAATTTTAGGAACAAATAGGTTTTGTAAAAATATTATTGACTTTGAAATATAGTACTTTACCTCTAGATAGATATTTTTAAATGCAGAACTGGGAAATTTTGATGGGTCTCAATGGCTTCATGAGATTTTGAACATTCCTAAATGACCCAATTCACATGTATGTAATTTGCATGGATAACTAAATTATGTAATTTGTCCGGCTCTTGTGAACTGGGCTATTGCTTTTCTTTCTGGAGCTTTTGGAAGGATTATATTTAAGGTGGAGTCCATGTAGTTATCCTTTGAGATCAGAGATCGACAATTCTTTTTTCCTGTGAAAGATCAGATAGTAAAGACTACAGGTTTTGCAGGTGATAACGTCACCCGCACAAACCACTAATTCTGCCAGCTCAGCACAAAAGCCCCTGGAGACAGTGTGTGAACTGATGAGCATAGCTGTGCACTATTAAAACTTTATTTACACAACTAATGAATCATTGAACATGACATCAGAAACTAACTATGTACTACACAGTGGCTAACTTGAACTTAATAAAATAAAATAAAACTTTATTTACAAAAGGAGGCAATGGGCTGGATTTATCAACCCCTGATTTGGATTGTCAGTTGCTGAACCTGAAAAATATTTCACATGGCTTATCGGTGTAAAGTCATGTAACACAAGAAACAGTGATATGAGCAAGTCATTGGGGGACCCTAAAAGAATCAGATTTCCCTTTACTTGCATGCACGCAAAGAATAAGATTCTGCTCCTCCTGTTAACACTCATGGAAGAATAAATTTCATGGAAAAATTAATTTCCTATGCATATGGGGAGATCACATCCATAATATTCAATCATTTATTTAGAGAGGTGGTGCTTTCTGTGTATTTACATAGGCAGCATATCGAAGGCTATGTCCTAGGCCCCTTTCTGTTGGGAAAAATTAGTAAATTGGCATTTGCTAAATTTTCAAACACAGTCTTCCCTTTATCCACAAGTCTTTAAATAATACACATTTAGTGGACCCGATTTTTCTCCCCATAGCTATAGATTAATCTTCTTAAAGGTAGGTAAGATGCAAAGTAAAAACAGAAGTAATAGAATTTTACTCATTATAGTAAAGCCATTCCTTTTAGAAATCAGTTTGTATTCAAAACCACAGATTTCGCAAATCACGTGCCTGTGTAAATAACAACAGCATCGTATTTTAGAATTTTGTGAAAATTCCGAACGTTTATATTACACTTAAATTTTTGGTGTTATGTAGAGTTCTATTGTGCCCTGGAGGCTGTGTTAGGCCCCTATCTAGAGAAAAGCATTTTTTTAAAAATGAAGCTATTTCCCCAAATAATGATGCGGTTTAGGTCTGACAGTAGTAACCAGAGAAAATGTTTTCAACTTCTATTTTAGATCATTTTTTCCTAAGATATTTCCAAATAGCCACTATCCAATCAGAGTGTGATTCCGTAAATAAATTCTTCAGTAAGCTTTCGATCGCACTGCTGGAAGATATCCAGGAAGGCAGTGTTCCTATTTACCCAGAGGTAACAAAGATTGATAGGAAGCACATTTCTGAACAGAAGCTGTAAATGGCCAGGCTTTGATGCCACCTCAGAACTAGAAATTCAAAAAACACCTTTCAGAAATTGCTTTCCAAAATTGTCTTGCCCAGAGTTAATTTCCTAACCCCAATGCCTTAAGTTCTCAACGCAATGCAATGCAAATCCCTATAGAGAAGGCAGGAAAATAAATTGTGCTGCTTTAAGAACTTTATGTTCAAGTAGCAATGTCGTGTGCACGATGAATAAAAAATGTCACCACAGTGGTAACGATTAAAAACTTAATTGTGTTCAGAATGTCTGAAACACATATATAAATTTTAAAAGAAAAGCTGCGGAGAGAAACATTTTTTTCAACTTTACCAAACTACATTTTCCAATCAAAGTATGGCATTCTAAAAAAGGTACACTTTTTAAAATGCTTATTAATGCATAACTTACATTATTAGGATTTGATGCAGTTTTTCTGGCCAGAGTATCCTGTGGGCACTTATCGATTTGTAAAAACGGATTTAAAGTATGAAAGGAAAGAACAAATATATATTTTATAGGGCTTTCTTGAAGGCAGCCATTTGCCTCAAAATAAAACATCTTTGGAATACTTTCTAGGAAAATGTTGTCAAGGTTACTCAGCTTCAAATTTGACCTATCTTGACACAGAATTCCTTCTTTAAAGGACTGTGTTCATCACTGTGGGGTATGTTGGGGTGGGGTACCAACAGTTCATAACAGATTTATAGACTTATTGGACAGAATAAAAAAGCATTCACAGCTTCAGTAGAGGTAGTATGGGGCGAGTATGTCATGCATAAACTAAAATATAATAGGAAGTAGTTATCAAATAGCCCAAATTACAGAATATTCTTAAAGACTACAATTTTAGAACTTTCAAGCGTATTCTTGGAATGAGTAAACCCAACAGATATCCTTAAACGTAATTTTGAATCAGAGGTTCCTAGTGCATAAATGACTTGTGTTGATTTCTAGATGCTCTGAAGCTATTCATTTATTTATCCAACATGTGTATCTTGCTGACAGTAGAATAAAGGCACAATCCATGACAAACTGTCACAAAGCCCAGCTGAGTGTTAGTGAGACTTTATTGCATGTGTGTCGGAGAGTGTGCTCATGTGCACGGGGAAACTTGGGAGCGAAGAGAAAGTCTCCTATTACATTTCAAAAGGCTCAGTGGCAATACGGATTTGTATATGTGGGGGAAAAAAGTACCTACATTTGTAAAGGTAAGTCAAAAACTCAAAGTCGGATAGTAAATTGGTCCCATTTAGCACTAGCCTTGACAGACCTCCTTAAGAAGTCTCAGGGCTGCAGCAAGTCAGGACTCTACCTATGTCTTTGATATTATTTGCATAAGGAGGACCAAGATATTAAAGAGTAAAATCCTGAATGTCATCACATTTTAACAGAAACCACAAAATGCACGCACAGATAAATTTTGGTTTAAAAAAAGGTGTCTTATTGTTCTTTTCTCTGATGCAATTGAGAATTTAAATTAGCCTACAGGTTAATCAGTTCTCTTCAAACAATTATAAATTCCTAAAGCAAAGGATTAGTGAGTCAATATTTATTAGTTTCTGCAGACTCTTAGATTTAAATTAATTTTTTAGATTGCTTACTGCACAGCAGGAAATCACATGTAGTAAAGGAAACAATTGTTTACAGTAACCTTTGTGTTTTTGAATTATTAATTTAATTTGAAAAATGTAGTGACTAGACAGAAGTGCAATAGGAAGCGTATGATACATAACGAGCCTAAGACAACATTAGATTAAATAGAACAGATAGAAAGTAATAACCTTTTCAAAAATTAAAATTATTTGTGTATTCCGCTTTTCTTGACTCACAATGAAAGGAATGTAGCCACCAATAGTAAGAATAAATTAGAGCAGTATCTGCTCCACATTGAGAATGACTGATGCATGTTTCCTCTGCTTGTTTCCTTGTTAGGGCTTATGGCCAGAAGAGATTCCAATTTTAAGTACCAATTTCCCTTTGAATTATTTGAAATTGGAGCTGCCTGATATGAATGACTTCCCATGAAATGAAATTATAGTTAGGCTCACAGACTTACCTATAAAACTGTAAATGCAGTAATATGTATGCATGGGCATGCTACTAATTTTATTGAAGACTTAACCAAGCTTTCTACGCAACTAATATAGATCATTAGCAGTGTTCATGTAGGCATGGAATAATGATTCTCTGGAAAAAGTTTCTGTCGATCTCTCTTGATTTTAACCCTTAAATTATTACTGACCGGTAGGAGGAAAAGGCATAAGATGGAAGGGATTCTAGGGAGAAAAACTGAGTCACATCTTCAAGGAAATGTGTAAGGAAATTTATTATCACTTCCTTGGAAAATGAATTCTTGTACTTGACATCCCAAAATTTATATAAAGGGAGCAGATGGTCGGGGAGGCCGCCATTTTGTCAAAATGAGTGTCGCACAGAAACAAGTGAAGTTTATTTAGATTTGAATAAATTGTGATTTTACTGTGAACCTTGTGCAACTGATTTAATCCTAAATCCTCTGGCTTTTAATTTATGAAAAGTTTAGGTTATTTGCCTGAGTACCCTTGACACAGGGCAGACTGAACTATTCTATATTATTGTTACTTGATATACTCTTTGATTTCTTTTTTAATCTGGAAGCTTCATTTCCTTAAGAGGGGGAAAGTTTTTAAAGTCTAAATTCTTGGGTATACCCCAGAAGCTTTCAGAGTTTTCCTGGCCATTAATTAGTTAAAAATAAACC